TTGTCCCTGCAGGCGCAGAGTTAAGGGAAAGGCCTTAAACACCATACGGAGGTGTTTCGTGCTCATGCCGCCGTTGGAGACACCGAACGGCCGCCTCTCGTAACGCGGAGCGGGTGTTACAGGGCTTGGGTCGCCCCTCGCTTGTGCGGCAGCGCTGGGTGTGAGCACCTGTGCCGGCGTGCGGTGAGGTGTGCGGGGGCCTCTGCCCAGGGCTCGCTCCTCGCCAGAAGTCCCGTTCTGCGGAACAGTTGTCTAGAAACAATCATCTTCGCTCTGAGAATTTACCGCTTTAAATCCTTTTCTTCTACCGAGCCAGGGCATGACTTCTGTTTTAAAGGTTTGCAAACGGATGCTGTGAAAAAAAAATGGAAAACTAGCCAAGGCCGTTGTAACCAATACTGTTTGGTTTTCCTCCCTTTGTGATGTAAGGTATTACAGCATTTCAGACAAGTGTTCTTAACCCCCCAAAAAATCACCTTAATTTTGAAAGGGGTCAAGATACAACATACTTTATTTCTTTTCCTTCTCCCTCCAAATCTGAAGGTCAGTAGAAGAGAACGTTTTGCTACAATTCGGAGTGTCACTGTTTTGTAAAGAGCAATGTATTTGAAACATTTTTGGAGAACTTGAAATAACTTGGAGATTAATCCTTGCTTTCACTTGAAAATAGTCCCATACCTGCAGAGGCTCAAAAAAACTGTTAGAAGTCCAGGGCTTGAAATCTGATCAGAAAGAATTCTTCAAAAGACTTCAGAGGAAGAAGAGCATTTCTTCAAAAAATGTAAACCGAAATTATCAGTCATACCTGCTGACTGTCTGTACTTGTACTGCTGCGTCCCTTGTGGGTTATACCAAGTGAAACTGAAGACCACTGTCTTCCTGTTCACTGTCTGATGATTTGGGGTATTTTTTGTACTCCTTGTTATACAGCCTCACTAACTATATTCTACAGCTGTGGATTGTCCTAAGAAAAGGAGAGCCAAACAGGGCAGTCGTCATCCAGATAATAATTAAGATTCCATATATTTTTCTCAGCAGCATTTCCCTAATTTCCTGGAGCTGTATGTCAATGTCCTTGACATCACGAGTGCATTTAGATCACCTTGTATCTCCAGCATACCCTATCCTTTGTCTCAGAATTCACATTACTATGAAAATAGTGTCTGGCAGAATCATTTTCAATATTTAAAATTCAAAGTTAATCCCGTTTTCAAAAGGGATAGTAAATACATTTCATCCATTCTAAGTGGATTTTTTTTTTAAACACAACTATTTTCAAGTTACAATTTGCTTAGGAGTTGTAATTTAATAAATATACACTGCATTTTTAGACGTTTGTTTCTAAACATGTTATAGCATGTATTTTTTGTGGACTGGAATTCCAAGTACTTTTTCATGGCTAAAAAGTAACAATATGAATTTGAACCATCTTATACTTCTGGTTCACAACAGCTATTCATAACAAAATAGTGAGGGTTTCTGAAATTGGAGACAGCTTCCCCTTCAGTCTAGCAGCTGTTCTGCCACGAGCTGGCAGCGCACACGTGGTTTGTTCGGTGTGCCCAGATAAGGTTTGTGTGGCCTGGATTATCAGTAATTCGCAGGGCTCATGTAGAAGCACAAGTTGGTCAAATTATTTACTTTCCATGTGTACTGAAACCTACATTTCATCATTCTGCAACCTCTGTTTAAGGTGGTAAGGAAATTTCATTTTGTAACTGTATGCAGTAGGTTGTTTTCCAGGCTAGAGGAGGAACAGTTGTCCTTGCACACGAGCTCGCTATTGACAGCTTTGTTTCAACATGTGCTTCGTATTCTGACTTTTAAATGAATGTTCTTTGTACTTCAGTCTCCAAGCCAGCGCCTTACTGGGAAGGAACAGCAGTCATTAATGGAGAGTTTAAAGAGCTGAAATTAACGGATTATGAAGGAAAATATCTTGTCTTCTTCTTCTATCCTCTTGACTTGTAAGTAAGACCACTCTAGACATACTGAGTGGAGCTACGCTAGAATTGTTATTCATTAATTTCTCTCTTTTTTTGAGGTCTTATTTTTTTGTTTGGTAAGGGGTTAAGGGAGAAGAAAGGAGTGACAGAAGAAAATATATTCTTTGCATTTGTGTTTTCATCATGCACTGGTAAAATTGTAACACAATCTTTGTCCTAACAAGTGTGTCCGCTATTTTGTGTCTCCACACAAAAAAATAACTTTCAGTCTGTAGTACCCAGTCAGGCAACCTTTACGTTCTGTATGATGCTGTAAATCACTGCTGCGAATGGAAGACGGCATCCCATCTATATTTTCTCGAGTGTATGTATATCTAGGATGTGGCATTTTCCCTTTCAGCTCATCCCATGACATCCTAAGAACATTTAACATTACTTTCCTTTATTTGGAATGCAGTAACTTCACTGGTTGAGTGAAAACGTCTCTGCTTTCTACCAGACAATCCCATTCTTTTCCATAAAATGAGGAGAAGAGGACAGAGATGCATAACTGCCTTAATATTATAAAGGAAGTAACGTGGCTCTTGGCCATTAGCTTCAAGGCCCTAGAAATTGTGATCTTACCACTTTATTTCTTCTGTAGTGGAAAAAGTTCACGTCAGGCTAGTTAAAGCTTGAAGACATGCATGGTAACAACAAATTATAGTATGTCCCTCTGAAAAAAATTGGCTCATTTTGCTTCAATTCAGCCACTTCATAGTCATAAAGTCTAAAAGAAAGTAACCGTAAAAACACTTTAACTCAGATTGTAAGCTAACGGTAGGTTTATAATCTTCAGTGATAAATGATTTGTAACTAAGCTAGAGTCTCAGGCTGGAAGATTTGTCAGGCAGCATGTCAGTTAAATACTTGAAGAAGCAATAAAAAATAAGTAAAAGCTGAAATCATTTATGATAAATCCACCATTTTAAGTTAAACAGAGAACTTACTGGATGTTTCATGAAATTTTGACTTTATCTTGTCTTAAATTATCTAGTACCTTTGTATGTCCAACTGAGATAATCGCCTTCAGTGACAGAATTGAAGAATTCAGAGCAATAAATACCGAAGTAGTAGCATGTTCTGTGGACTCAAAGTTCACTCACCTAGCATGGTATGTATCTTATCCTTGTCTTTCACTACAAATCAGTCATGGCTCCATCTTTGCTGAAGAACAGTATCCCCAGATTTTTTAGCCTATGTAGCTATACCATAATGTGTAAAAGCGTGATGCTATTGATATGAATGTTTAAAATATTTTTCAGCAGTAAAAATTTTTAACCCTATTGCATGAAAGTACCTTTATCTTTGAAGCTTGTTTAATTTGTATTGCTTGAAATACATCATGTCTCAGTCCAAAAAATACTACAAATGCAAAAAAAAAAAGGAGGTAAGGATGCAAGTATCTGTAAATGCGTCACACTGTCCCAGTTCATGAGCACGTTGGTATAAATCAAATATGACTGATAAGAAAGAGGTCATTATTAATAGATGTGGCCAAAACCTGCAAAATCTACTGAACATTTTGCTCGGACCATAAATAGTATTCCTCTCCGTTGCGTGCAGAACAAAAAAAATGTCACTTGCACTAAATCCTTCTGTCTGTACTGTTCTGGTTTGTGACTTCAAACTTTGTGCAGGGAATATAAATGTTAATGAGAAATACATCTGTATCTCATTTCTTTCAAAGGATTAATACTCCTCGAAAACAAGGAGGACTCGGACCTATGAAGATTCCACTTCTTTCAGATTTGACGCACCAAATTTCAAAGGACTACGGAGTATATCTGGAAGATCAAGGGCATACACTTAGGTATTTCACTTGGTTAAAGTGCTTTTTTATTTTTTGCTGGGGTAGTACTTGCTACTTTATATCTAAAGAAGCATTTGAAATTTTTCTTTGAGAGCAGATTTTTGTTTGGGGATTCATACTGAGAGACAAAATAAATACGGATGAACACAAACAAATCGTCAGAACGAGTCAGAACAGGGGTCAAGGTTAATGTCCTGTTTAACAATAGTCATCAGCAGATACCATGGGCAGGGCAAACATGCAGAATTCCTCAGAACTGCCATTACTTGGGGCCTCCCAAGTCCAAGTGGAGACAAGACTAAGGGTAACTAACGGCCCCAAGAGATACATCTTTCATAAACTTGATTAGTTGCTTTTGGGATCCCTGTAACATCATATCATCTGCAGCATCCCCTGTCAGGGCCTGTCAAACCTTAGTTTGATGTTCTGCAGAGAAGTACCCTTTTTTGTTTTTAACTTCCCCTCAGCTCATGTCATCTGATACCCCAGGTAAAGGAGAGTAGGTTACCAGTATTCTAGGGTGGTGGGTATTGTATGGTGTTTGCAGACACCAAATTCCTCCCATCCAGCAGACACAAAATAGTGCATAAACACAACACAGTAATTAGTTCTGTTTCCTAACACGCACCAAAAAATGTTTTCACAGAGGCCTTTTCATCATTGACAATAAGAGAATTCTTCGACAGATCACGATGAATGACCTTCCTGTTGGGAGATCAGTGGATGAAACGCTTCGTTTAGTACAAGCATTCCAATACACAGACAAACATGGAGAAGGTGCTCTTTTAAATACTTTCATGTTGAAGATTGGTTTACTTAGATTTGAGCTGTATTTGTAGCTTTTCGGAAGAAAGGTACTCAGTAGCATTAGAAACTAGTCTCATGGAGTGAGTGAAGTGGTTTGATTGCCCTGCTAGAAGATTCTGCGGTCTCTGTACCTCCATATATTGTTTCTAGAATAGTAATTGACATTTTGCTTCACATCCATGAGAATGCAGAGCATAAAGCATTCCTTAGTCTGAATTAAGGCTTTATGTACCATCTGTCGCAAGCATAAACCTGCACACAATATGAGCCTGTGAGGAATCAGGCCCAGTATTGCAGTACATTTTGCATACTAAAATAATGGAGACGCAGGCCATCCTTGTCCTGTGTCATTCACTGAGGATCTGTGACAAGTAATTGAGAGCGCGTCACGTCAAGGTACATGGTGATGCTATGAAAGTTAGACTACCATTACTTGTGCTTTCTTTACAAGTGCTATGTGATCATCTTCCCCTGACAGCAAAGCTTTCACTGGCTTCATATCATTACTTTGTCTCAAGAATTCCTACTCCCTCAGTTCAAGCATAGAGGGAACTTCTCACATTTCCTTAAATAATGTGTTTAAATAAGCTTATTTGTTTAAATAAGCACAAATTTAAATATTTGTTTAAATATTAGTATACATGTTCAGCATCTTAACTTCCACTTCAAGTCAATTTCACCTGGCATTTGAAAGTACCTTTGTCTGAAGGTACAAATCGTTACTATGCTTTGCTGTAGATTTAAAAAGATAAATGCTGATACTTAGGCTACGCACATTTGATTAAGGAAATTCAGCCTCATTTAGTTACAAAGCTGTCTTACAGAATATTGATTTGCAGTGTGTTTCCAGAGCACCATGCTTTTTTCCAGCTAAAAAAATGCCGAGAAGAGCCTCCCCAGATGCCGTATTGGATTCTTTGCACAGAATAGGAAATGAAGTTCTGCACCGTTTCTAATTGCCTTTGTGGCATTTTGCCTGCCAGCATGCCTTAATGACAGCAGTGCGATATGGCATAACTCATTGGGCTAAAGCCCCAGAGGGCGAGCTCTGAACAGGTAGGAGCTTCGCTCCAGAATGTGCGACTGCACAGGTGGTCACAGGCTCGCAGCCACACCTGTTAACCGCGTGCTATAACCCCTTTACTCCTGAGCAAGGCGTCAAATAAAATCACTCAGTCTCTTGTGGAATCTTGGAACTGATTTCTTTGCTAAAAATTTTCCCCTAGCATTGGTTTTAAAGAAAGGTACATCTCCGTGTAGTCACCTGAATTTTATGAAGAAAGTTTTGTTTCTACTAGAATAGGTGTTCATTCTCAGATACTGCTTTGCTAGGACTTTGTCTGAAAGGGCACGAGAATTAAACCAAGGCACAGAGACCCATCCAGAGATGCAGTTTCCAGTTAACAGAAGTGGTAGATGGTATCGGGTATAAACTGTTACAACACCATCCCACATATAAAGAAAACTGCATCATTTAATAGATGCAGATATTTACATGTGACCCTTGTGTGCTGTTCTGCTTCAAGTTCAGAACGTGAGTATTAAGTGCACAAAAGTAATTGTGTGTAAAAATACTTTCATTAACTTTGTCCTTTTGTTTTTCCAGTTTGCCCTGCTGGTTGGAAACCTGGCAGCGAAACGGTAAGTCACTGTTTATATTTAAATGTATCTACTGCTAAAAAACACTCAATTCCCACTTCCACTAAAGCCAAATCCAAAATCTTGGCAACTTTCAGTGAGATGATATGCGCAAACTCGCATTATTATAGTTAGAGCTTTTAGATTACTACTGATTTCATTAGGAGCTCGTTTCCCTCACACTGGACGTATTTCAGTTGTTTCAAATTCCCTGTGTATGAACAAAACTCTCTTGAGCAGCAATGAGTTCATGATCAAGAACGTTTTTCTTAGTAACACCTGGTGAGAGGAAGTTGGAAGCTCTTGAGTCTGGCCTGTCTTCTCAGTTACTTGTCCATTATAAATTCTTGGTTCTGTTGAGCCTTACTGTGGATCCTAGGCACTACCCAAAGAAAGAAAAACCCAAGTTCCCAGGCTGCTGTGGTATCTGACAGAGCCACCTTGCCACTATCAGAACTCCAGCAGAGAGCACTGCTTTGCTGTGCAATAGCTCTTCCTCCTTTGTTACTACTCGCCTACGTGTGACTACAAGCAGTAGGGCTGGGCTTCCATGTCACCCATGGAACTTGTGTTCTCTGGCTTGGATCAAGCCTCAGCAGAATAATGAAACTTCCACTGGAGTTCAGATGAGATCACTGGCATTTATTTGAGCTGGTGGCTTTCTTCTGAACCATGTGGTGATGACAGAGGGCTGTTGTTTAAGAGCTGCCTCAACAAAAAGCAGGTCCCAGCAGCCTCTAAGCAGAGTAGTGAACACGTTGTAATTGATAGTAAAAAAACACTGGAATGTTCAACCATGTTTCTTTGCTGGATGTGACAACTTCCCAGGATGGCTGGAGGCTAGGAGTCACTTCTTTCAAGGTAGCAGAGGAGTGTCTTAGTCAGAGAAGCTGGATATTAAGACACTAAAATGAAAGAGGACTGGCTGGCCTAACGTATTTTGGCACTGAAAAGTTCTGTCCTCTGTAAACGTGAATCACCTAAATAACACAATGTTAACGTATTTTCTAAAAAAGTCTTACAATGCTGAGATAACAGCTGCAATGCTACCAGTTTAAAGATCTGAAACAATACGTAAGCATTACCTTTCTCCTCGGTGCAAAAGATGCAGAAAATTTAAATGGCAGAGTAACTCCAAAGGCCTTTCTCGAAGATGTCGCCATGCCTTCTAAATGTGCTTGATTTAATTAGATCAAACCAGAGGAAGCCATGAGAGTGTGGTGGCCAAGGGAAGAACTGTAAGTAAATTCTAAGACTCTTGTGATTACACATGTTAATTTATTAAAATATCTTGCTTTTGGGGCAGGCAACATAGATGTGTGTGCTCCCAACTGTCCTTTGGGATTCTTCCTTTGGTAGGCTGCACTCTCTCTTCCCCCAGTTACACCTTTCTGCCACTGCCCTTAGGTACCATTAGAGATGAACAGTAATCTAGCCCCAAGTCAACAATAAATTACTCTCCAGTGTTGCTTATGGGTTGGCCTGAGCATCATATTATGAAGTACTATGCTGTTCTGGTTTTATAGTTTGTTGTGTTGGTGTGATTTTGGTTTTTGACTAACATTTTCATTTTCTTTCTTGCACAGATAATTCCAGATCCAGCTGGAAAACTGAAGTATTTTGATAAACTAAACTGAGGCTTGCTTCTGTTGAATTACATAGGTCACATTCAACTTGATTTTTGCCAATAAAATTTCATTAATTTTGTTACTTTTGTGAGTTTGACTAATATGTAACTGCAGTAGACCATTAAAGGTCTTGTTGCTTAAACAGGAGTCTAACCTATGTGAAGCACGGGTACCTCATTAGTTATCTGAGAATATCATTACAAAATACACGTTTCCCTGCAAGTCTTGTTTAGATGCTTGGTTTTCCTAAAATTTCCTTCTCTTAGCATCTCAGGCTTACATTCATGACTCTTGCTATTGATAGATTACTTAATTTCTGCAAAAATCTTCTCTGCTTGGTCACATTCTAGGGGCCACAGCTGGAAAAGAGCCACTTGGTTACGGTACATTAGCTGCTGTTGCCTCTGGACTACAGACCAACTCAAATGCCAGAAATAAGTTACCGTTGCTGAATTAAATTTCCAGTCTGTCCAAAGCTGGAAAACATTTTTAAACTACGAAGAACATACCCTACGCTACATAAATCAGTACAACTGCACTGAAAAAAACAGAGCTATGCCAGTTCATGTGATTCAAGAGCTGAACCAGTAATTTTTTCCATGTTTGTTTGTATTGGTAGTGCATATGCTGATAAGATCAATTCCATTTCACACAGTCTGAATTTTTTTAACTGGCCACACACTGTTAACGGACGTACACAGTGGTTCGCGTCCTGCGCTGATCCACTCGTTAACGGTGGCTCCTAGTTTTAAGGCAGTAATTGTAGTCTTTCCCAAGATTAGTATTGACTTGTCCGATGATCATCAGAAACTCTTGCGGCTCATGTACATGAATTTCTTCTTTCAAGGGAAAAGAACATCTCCATGTAAGACATACTTGTGGGCGCTGGAGAACCCTTTCATAAGAATGTCTTTTCTTGCTTCTTCCCACCTCTCCCCCTTTTTAACGTGGTGTTCTGGAGTCTGTGCAACTGGAAAAACAGCACCTGAGGTCAGTGTCATCCTTGAAAATGCCAGAGAGATGGCTTCCTCCCTGCTCCGGTCCAGCACCGCTGTTACTCCTCTTGGTTGGATCCCACACTCGTGAGAACTGAGGTCAGGGTCAACTCTTCACCATTTTTATCCTTGAAAATGCCAGAGAGAGGGCTTCCTCCCTGCTCCGGTCCAGCACCGCTGTTACTCCTCTTGGTTGGATCCCACACTCGTGAGAACTCCCTTCCCCTTCCCCTGCCAGCCCGTACAAATCCCTTCCCTGTACACAGACACCTCAGCACAGATCTGCACAACTAAACTAGCAGCTGCATTTTCACTGTAACCTTACCTGGTTTTGTAGACTTTGGTGAGCACTGAGCAGCTCTCCGGATGAGTCACTGCGGACAGAGCAGAAGCGGCTGCTTGACTTTTGCTTCAGCTCCGATGATACAACCAAAGAGCCCCTAAGCCCATGCCTGGGGCAGAGGGAACCACGGCCAGAGCGAGCAGAGCTCCACCAAGCCCCAGCCTCCCCGTCCCTGCGAGGCCTGGGGGAAGCAGGAGCTCCTGATCCCATCCGGAGGGTAACAGAGGCACAGCCGGACCGAGGCCGAAGGCCAAAGGCTGCTGATGTGCTGCTCCAGCCCACGGGATCTCAGAGAGCAGTGGGCAGCACGTAGAGAGGTGGTTTCTCACGTTACCAGGCTGTAAATCAGCTGCTTGAATTTTACTCCAGGTTTTGTTTACAGCCTTTATCAACCCTGGAACACCCAAAACATCAACACAAGAGAATATTCAAGTAACTCCAAGCAACTGCAGCGTGAGGAAGGCAGCCCAGGGCACAAACCAAACCTATCGCTCCTGCCTGCCTTACAAATGGCGCTTGTGCCCCAGCCAGGTCCCTCAGTCACACCCAACGCTCTCCCAAGCAGCAAAACCCCCTGCGGCACTAAGCCTGCAAAGAGACCCGATACAGAGAGAGATGAGTTACCACCCACGCCAGAAATCTCCCATTTCTGACCAAAGAGCCCGGAGCAGCCAATGCCCAGAGGTGCCTCATGGCTGTGGGCAGGAGCCCTGCAGGGATGAGGATCCCCTGCTGCCAGGGCAAGTGCTCCAGGGAATTTTCTATGCAGTATCGTCATCCAACTGCACCTTCCGCAAAAGGAGTCTCCCGTTTCTCTTTCATGAAAGCTGAATAGTGACCCTTTTATTTCCTGCTAGCTAGTGCCTAGCCCGTGGAGAAATAATCTCTGCGACACCTGATTAAAAATGCATTCAGAGGAGGACCAGCAACCGAACAAGTCCGTCACCAGACACAGGCGGGACTGAACGTGCAGTAAAACCAATGAAGGATGCAGCAAGTTTAGAGCAGGTTTCTGAACTAAACCCCTCGCTCAGTGGCCCACACTGCACCAGCGCCAGCAAGCTTCTTCCCAAAATGCTGTACATCGTGACGTGGCTGCAAAGGAATCGTATGTATTTGAAGAAGGGCTACCAGAAGCTGTTACAGTAAGTTTGAGTATGTAATTTTAATAAATTTTTTTTAAACACAGAAAAATAAAACCATTTAAAACAAAGCGCTTTTTCGGGTGCTCAGTCAGTCCCACAGAAATCTCCTTTTTTATCACCATTAAGTGAGAGGGTTAGGGGAGCCAATCCAGCTACCACAGACTTCCTCCTCCTCACTGTAGTCCAAGACGCGACGGGCACAGAAACATTTACTTCCCACTAGAGAGCCACAGCCAATTACATAGATAGGTTCGCTATAAATAAAAAGATTTTCTATCGATACCTTTAGGCTTGCGTGGTAACAGTTAATAACTTAGAGCAGTGATGGGTTGGTTGTTAAGTTGCAACATAAACTCAACATTAATCACTACGTTAAAATATTTTAATTTTGAATATGAGATCTGAGAACAATTTTGTCTTGCACACAAAGGTATACAGCGTCGTGCGTAACTAATACCCTTGGATAAAGATACATTTAGCCTGTTATCAGAGAGAGTGGCAACTTGGAGTTACCCTCTCGGAGTAAAAAACATGTGAGCACATATTCTATGTCTGTTTATTACTATATATATTTTATATCTTTTACATATGTCTGTATATATATGGACAGACATGTTCTGTATGACTGCACATACATTTCTGTAACAACTGTGATTGTGGTACATCATTAAGTTATCACAAACTTTGAAAACAAACCAATTCTTGTAAGAATCCCACAAATGAAGATGCATTTTCTTTACTGTGTCCAGAGGTTCTGATGTCACGCCTTGCTCCCTACCCTATTACTTCTTTTTCTCCTCTCCAATCCCTTCCCAAAGGCTGAATTTAGAAATGATGATAAATACAGCTGAAAAGGCAGTAGAGGAAGAACTTGGTATCCCCTTAACTTACAAGTGTTCTAGACAAGTGACCCAGGTAGGACCACTGGGTCAATGACAAAAACCAGCAGCTAGGCAGGACCGACACACAGTTCTCACACGGATCCCACCACTTCCTGCCCTCCTCATTTTTTAACAGCCAACAGCGATCCATGCAGCGAGCGGGGCAGAAGCTGGGATAGAATTTCAGTTCTTTATTTGTGTGGTCAGCCAATATACCCGACTACAGCTTCCAAAGAGTTTTAAAAAGGAGGAAAACAGAAAACACAACATATATCCACAGTGTCATAACCATTTCAGAAAAACACTGTAACATCATACAGCTGAATCGGCCCTGCAGTGTGGCTGAAGACAGAAACTCTATGTAGGAACCCAGAGCTTACTATCACCACAATGCATTCACCTGACCCGGATCAGGCAACACCCCTGGGCCTCCACTGGAAAGCTAACTAACTTAGAAATAAAGGCAGACAAATCTTAGGGAGGAAAGGCCGGTGTGTAACACGCTGGTTGTCACAGGGCTCACCCTCCTCACGTGAGTTAGCAATCAGCCGTCAGGAGCCACAAGCTTCATGCTGTCCTAGCACCAGAGGAAGCTGGTCCTAATTGTGAACTTGTCAACCTTTCTTACTCCAAAATAAAATTTCAACACGTTGCTTTGTTTTATCAACCTGTTTCATGCATCTGTGCTGATACGCAAAATTTCTACTTGCTGCTTCCTAATTTCAAAAGATCTCAAACCTAGCAGGGAAGCCAGAGTCTATTCTCCTGTATTGTAAGACATCGATTTCATCCGTTAACCTACCATTGAGCCCATCCACTCCTCTTGGGTTGCCTTGATCAGACAGGACATCGGTCTTGATTTGAAGGTATCAGAGGTCCAGTTCTGTGCTTGTGACTAATCATCCTCACTGCTAAAAGCTGATGCCTCCCATCCACTCACCTTCCTAATTTCAGCATGTTGGGCTTCATCTGTCAGATACTGGAGATTATTAAAACTTTCTCCACTACATCAGAAGCACTTCAGTATCAAGTACTCTCTTCCAGTTACTTATGTGCCATAGTTATGTCCACCACGGTGCCCCTCTGTGGTGGGGAATTACTCTGTCCTTCACTGGTAACCTTGGCAACCCTTAAAGCTGTGCAATACTTGTATTTCATTAAGCTCTACCAAGGAACCAGACAAATAATCCAGCTGAGGAGGCTGTGCTCTAGCCGTACCACCCCTCAGTGGGACAGAAGTCCTCCCACCGTTTAGCAGCGGACTTGGGAGCTGCTCAACACAGATTCTCTGGACCTCTAACTCCAGCATCAAACATAACCATTACCATTTGAGCAGCATTTTACCTTTTCTGCTCCCAATCCTGAACAAACCAAAACCTTCTGCTCTACAATGCCATTTCCCAGCCCCACTCTATCTCACCAATCAGATCTCTACTCTGCAGGCCATAAGAAATAGTTCATTAAGGAACTCACTTATAGTTTTATGTATCAAAAAAAAAGAGTTAGAAGAGGCTGGCAAGGACTGGCTGTATGCAAACAGAACGCCAGAAGTGACCATCTGGCCACCTCATTTCATTGCAAAAATCAGTTTCCTCCTAAGGGAACAGAAACAATCCAAACCAGAAGCTGCAACAACCTTGCAAAATCCCAGCTGATGGGAAACACCTGCTTTACATTGCACACACACTTATGCTGCTGCCCAGATGCAGGTGTCC